ACAATGTTGGTTCACTGCAACCTCTGCCTCCCGGGTTCAAGCAATTCTCCTGCCTCAGCCTCCTGAGTAGCTGGGACTACAGGCGCATGCCACATATTTTTATGTATAAGGATATATTAAAGTATTAGATTCTATTAAGCACAAAATTGTTTCTATTTCCTAAAGAAAAAAAATCTTGTAATTGAATATTAATGTTGAAAAAAGGAAAGTTTACAGGAAATATCCTTCACCAGCTAATGACTGAAGCAATGCCTCTACTGGAATGGAGAATGGTAAGGTCTGGGCCTGACACTTTTATGTTTTTACGTGAGCCAGGCTACATGCTATTTCCATAGTGAGGAAAATGATTTGAAACTCAGGTGTGTCTCGTGGCCCTAATGACTTTATTTTCTTTTTAGTTTTAAATTTGAAGTAGCACTTGCAGGTAATATACGATCTGGGCACCCCTGCAGACAGGACTGTCAGTCGATGAGCACTGTCAGTCGTGAGTTCTGAGTATTGCGAAGGTGCAGGGTAGAAGGTACGAAGGTGAGAAAGGTGGGAAAGCCTGGAGTCTGTGTGAAGAACAGCATGGCCTTGGTGTGGCCCGGGCATGGATGCGGAACCGCGAGAAGAGAGATGCTGAGGTCGGCTGCGGCCACGGGCTCTGGGGTTAGGCTGTTCTCATCTTTGGTTTTCTGTAGGTTCACTGTGATTGCTGTACCAGAGTATTGTTTTTGTTGTTTGCTTACTTGGGAGTCACAGGCCTTCCTGTCTAATCTGTTCTGGAAACTTCTCTGCTGTGATTTCTTCTGCCTGTTTCCTCACACCTCCACTGCTGGGAACGCAATCCCGTGTGTTATCCTTTGCTTCTATAGCCCATGTCTCATGATTTTCCTCTATTTCTTTCCTCTTGTATCTCCTTATTTCATTCTGGATATCTTCTATTGATTTATTTTCCATTTCACTTTTGACTCTCTGTAAGTCTATTCTGATGCTAAATCCACATATTGAGTTTTAACATGTATTTTTTTTCAGTCCTTGTTATTCCATTTTATTTTTTTAAATTATTTTTTGTAGAGATGGGGTCCCCCCACGTTGACCAGGCTGTTCTCAAATCCCTGGTCTCCAGCAATCCTCCTACCTCGGCCTTCCAGAGTGCTGGGATTACAGGTGGGAGCCTTCATGCCCTCTGTTTGATTTTTAAAAACCGTTTCCAGTTCTCTGCCAAAATTATTAATCCTGTCTTTTATTTATTTGAACATATTATGC